TATATTTTAGATTCTATGCCAGCATCTATGATAAAAGAATCAGACCCCTTATACTGCTTAGAACTTCCAAAATTGAATGATTGCAGTAACGAGAGTGGACCTTACTTATTACTATGTTGGGTTAATATTCTTGTTGTTGAAGATCAATGTTCAAGGTTGTTTGTTTTAGTCATTTCAATATATATTCACTGTGTAAGTATTTTTGTTTCTGTATATCAGATTTGGAAGTGCTTATACCATGCAAATATGTCGTGAAACATCCTATAAGGACCTTCAAAAACTTTTATTGAAAGAAATGGCAGTGATGTTACATGATGATATATTAACAACTGATCAAGAAATACCATTATTTGGTATTCGATTGGCTGATGCAAGTGATTTACCTCAGTATTTAGATCCAACTGTTGAATTACCTCTTTTTACCGATCCAATTGATCAAGCATTAGCTATGTCTGGGGATCAGCCTCATATAAAATTAATTCTTGAATGGAGTCTCCATGCTAAGGAAGTGTAAGTATAAAAATTAATATATTTATTTAAGGGAAAAGAAGTTACTAATATTCAATATTTTTAATATTTTTAGAACAATTGCTGATCATTGTGATCAAGTTGAAGAGCATGCCAGTGTAAAACAGCTAAAATTAAATTCAGAAAAGGGAACATCTATCACGCTTGAACAGTGTTTTGATGTAAGTTGTGCACTTTTTTTTGAAATTAAATTGTTATAAAATATAAAATAAATTATTGGTGTATTAAAAAATTGTAAAATGTAATATTAATAATATTATATTCTAACTCTCTTTGATTTATGAATTAGGAAATTAATAATTTGTTTTGAGTTATATCTTATATCTAATATTATAATATTTGCTTTCAACATTTTAGTTGTACACAAAAGAAGAGGTATTAGGTCCAGAAAATGCTTGGCATTGTCCTCAATGTAATCTTAAACAAGAAGTTGTGAAAAAACTTGGATTATGGACTTTACCTGATATTTTAGTGGTTCATCTTAAAAGGTTTAGACAATCTCTTTCGCTACCGTCATCGCGACAGCACAATAACAGGTATTTGATGATAATATAAAATAATAATGGATTATTAAATTTCATTATTTGTAGGTATATTTACTTAATATAATTATTTTAATTTTCAGGCAACCAACAAAACTTTCTGTACTTGTAGATTTCCCTTTGTTTAGTTTTGATATGACCCCACATTTAGCTATAGGTCGGGATGTTAGGGTACCATTGAAGCCTCTAGCTTCTCGTCGGTTATCTTCTATACAGGATCATAACCTATATGATCTTTATGCTGTATGCAACCATCATGGATCAGATCCTCATAGTGGACATTATACTGGTTAATATACATTGGTCATGGTTAAATTATAACAATAAATATAATTATTATTTTTCTAGCATTTTGCAAAAATCCATATGATAAACAATGGTACAGTTTTGATGATACTAAAGTTACACCAATACCTGATACTTCTCTGGTCACGACTTCAGCATACATGTTGTTTTACCAACGACGAGATATGATTCTCAATAATTCTGACCATTGGGCCACAAGGTTACATGCACACATATCAAATAGCCATTCAGTTGGACAAATAGTTGATAATATAGGTAATTTATTAACTAATTGAAACATGATTTCTATTAAACATTAATGAGGATAAAAATAAACATTTTGTATTCTTTGTATATAGAAATATGCTACCTCTATTTTTTTATTCTATGTAAAATCATTATACTTATGGTACAATTCCATTTAATATTTGAGAAACTTCTCTTTTAAATTTAGTAGTGATGGGTCGAACCCTTATTTTTTAAATCGAACCGAACTTGAACTGAACTTTAAATATTTTTTTTTGAACCCGAACCGAACCAAACCTTTATATTTTCTA